CGGGGACTCACCTTCGGAGAGGTCGCACTCGAAGGTGATTTCGAACTCCCAGCCGAGGCCTTTGCAAATTTCTTTTCTTTCCTACCCCTAGATCGCTCCGCACTGTTTTGCAGCTTTGGGGACCACGCGGCACAGGGCAATATGCCACGCCCAACGATTTTTTTTCAGGGGCGGGCCGGATTGGACAGAACAATGGCAGCGATTTTTTTTCAGGGGCGGGCCGCATTGGACAGACCAACGGGCCGGATGTGGCCCGCGGGCCGTAGTTTGCCCACCCCTGAGTTAAAATGTATCTTTTAGAAGTCTTGTTGAAATTTTACTTTAGATTCTTTTGAAGTCCAGGCAGTCTCCTCCCTCCAGATCCTGCCCTTATTCTTTTCCTCTCCCTTCCTGCTTATAGAAGAAAAAGTTTTTAATATCCAGAAATCTTTATTGTCCCTTTGGTATTTAGTTATATTTTCAGCTTAATTGCCTATTAATGCCAAAGCGGATTTTTCCGATTTCTTATTCAGATCTCTTAGTTGTCAATGTAAGGAAGGAGAGAGAAGAGGGGAAAAAAACTTTTCCCTTTTCACTTTCCTTTGCTGCTTCCGACTCTTCTTTGGGAGCAGTGTTATCTTTTATAAAATTTAAATTCCAGGGTACCTTAATTGTTGCTTTTTAACCCGGTCAGCCAAAACTTTCACTTCTTATCTTCCTCCTGCACTTTCTTTTCCGGTTGAGTGCTTCTTTGAGGTGGCCATTTCTGACCACCGCTCCTACCGCCTTCGGGAAAGGGAGTTTGACCATCTGAGGAGGAGAGATGCGGCTCTCCTCGACCCTGCTGGCGATCTCCCCCCTCTTCACCACCTCTACGGGGTGGCTTAGCCCCGAAACCAGCCAGCTCGGGGCGCTCCACCGGCGAGCCCAGGCAAAAACCGCGCACGATTACGGATTCCTGCCTGTCGCCGAAGCCCTTCAAACCAGAAGTCAGTGCCATTGTAATTTTGAATGGTCACTAAATGAACTGTTGTAAATTGAGGACTACCTGTATATACAGAAGTTAATCCTGTTAATTTCAAGGGACATGTAGTTTCCAGAATAAAGTTATTGGCTTCATGAAGTGGAAGGTGGGAACAGAGGGTGAAAGGAATGGTTCTTAAATCGAGGGCTGCCTGTATGGACTTCAACCTCCAGAATTCCCCAGCCTTCTTTTTGCTGCAGATCCCATATCCAGAGATGAGACAGCATTTTATCAATAAAAATTTAATTTTGAATTATTCGCTTTATATGATCACAATCTTAAAACGAGACCTACAGATGTAAAGATATAGGCAGATTTCATGTAAGAAAAGCTGGAATATTTGCTAGCTGCTAACCAATCTCCCTGATCCTAACACATATACTAGCTAAATAACAAGTTTCAACAGAACACATCAAATCCCAGGGAGGACCATCTACCTATAAAGCCAAAGGACAAAGGGAGAGGCAGCGCCGGCGGCAGGAAACAGATCAACCCACAATCCTGTAAATCCCAAAGCTAGTGCCTTTAAAAAGAGAAGACCCTCTAGAAAGCATATACACACACCAGCCCTTCCGCGCTAAAAAGATAAATAGCTAAAAAGACACACAAGCAGCACGGGGGAGAATGATATGAGCTTGCACAGAAGAGACCAGCCAAATTGGCTCTGGAGAGGACTCCTGCTGAGAAGCTGGGGAATGTGGTTTTTGAGCAAGCCCTAGGGGTTGTTTCAAATTGCAATGGGACTGGTTTTTTTTTGCTGCTGACAAAGCGACCGGACTGAAGGTGCTGCTGAGCACAGCAGAGACTGTTTGGCCAGTCAAATTAACTTCCCCCCATGCTTTCAAAATGGATTCCTGGGTGCTGCGCTGCAATGTAGAAACAGGAAATGGAGCAGCTAGCACAAGGGGAGCAGGAGGAACGGAGAAGAGAAGGACAGCAGCCACCTCCTTACCTCATGCCAGCCACTCCATTGCCTGTTTCACCATTGCAGAACCCAGGAACTTTCCCCACCCACCACCGCCAGATGCCCTCACTTCTCCCAAGGATTTCTTTGCCTACCTGATATGAGGCTCCTTCGCGTTTCTTGCCATTGTGTGAAAGGAAAGAAAAGTTGTGTTGGGGCTTAAAAAAATTCAGAGGCCTAGGCCAGCCCGTGAGTCAACTCAACAGGGCTTGCTTGCAGGCTTACTTACCCAGGGAGATCAGGGCCGCGGCAGAAGGCAGGCAGCAATGGCTGGCGAAGGCAGGTTAGCAATGGCGGGCAAGATGAGTGACTGGGCGGAGCAGGGCCAGGCAGTGGTGTGATTTGCTGGTTCTCCGAACTGCGCAGAATCATAACAACCAGTTCTATAGAACCGGTCCGAACCAATAGAATCCCACCCCTGCCTTCTCTCCCACCTGGAATTGCCTTTGTGGGGCCCAGTGTTTGTCTGCCTGTTTCTTAAAGCTCTGTGCCACTTTTGGCAGAGCCTTTTTTACATTCTCCCAAGTTGCTTTCAGCATTGACATCCAATTGGTCAGGCTGACCGAGGAGGGGGGATCCCTTGGATACTCAGGCATTGGGATGAAGTCCATGTCGCTCACTACTTTGAAGGGGTTTAGTCCCGTGCTACTGTGAACAGCATTATTATACGCGACCTCTGCAAAAGGCAAGAGGTCCGCCCAATCAGATTGCCGATAATTCACGTAGCATCTCAGATACTGCTCTACCATGGCATTCAATCTCTCTGCCCCCCCACCCCCATTGGTGCTTGGATGAAAGGCTTAGCTAAGACTCTAGGACAACCCAATAGTCCACAGGAACTCCCTCCAAAATTTGGCCATGAACTGGACTCCTTTATCTGCTTGACCAATTGGATGTCAATACTGAAAACATTAATTCCAAACAATGCTAGGAAAGACTAATAATCTAAGAAATAGTGAAGATACAGCTTATCTTTTGATTTAGGGTGTCCTGATATCTAATACCAGCTGAGAGAATTGATTGAATTGGGAAGAATATCAATGTAGTCCTTATTTAGCAACCTCAACTAGGCCAGCAATTTGGTCATTAAGCAAAGCTTTCCTTTGCTATATAGACCTGCCAAGATCATAAATATGAGGATTGAGGAGCATGGTGGCTCATGTGGTTAGGATGCTGGGTTGACAATTAGCAAGCCTATGTGCGAGACCCAAGTGTTGCTGTGTAGTGGGGGCAAGCACCTTCATTTGCTCCAGCTCCTATCAACCTAGCATTTTGAAAGCAAGTAATCACAAGTAGGTAAATAGATAACCGCTTTGGTGGGTACTTTAATGAGGACATGAAAAGAGCCCCCTATAATGTCACTAGCTAATCTTTTCCACACAAATGGAAAGGGACAGGGCAGGATCTTCATAATTGCAAGTGGTTGCTAAATGAGGCAATTGCTAAACTATAAAAACCAAATGTTTTCCTTTTTGTACAATTTCTCCATGTACTCTCTCATTTTTACATCAAGAGCTCTCTCATTTTTACATTTGAGAAGTTTAGAATTATATTCTTGTTTCTGCTCACTTCACATTTCATCCCAAGCCTTTAAGGTAATTGGTGTTAAAATGCACCAGATCCAAAACTATTTCATGAATTTCTGCTAGAATCAGCTCCAGTACTCTGTTGATTCAGGTGGTCTAGAAATCAGGTCATGTTGCTTATCATATCAAATTTGATTTTCTGTAAATCACTTTTCTATACAGCACTTCCTCCCTGATTTGGTAGGAACTTAGATATTATTCATAGCTGAAAAATGGGTTAGGAGTGATTTTTCCTTCCCTTTAACTCAAATCATTTTCTGATTTTTTTTCTTGATGTAATTTGTATCTTGTTTTGAGGCTTATAAGGTTAATTATGCTTCTGCCTAGCTACATGGACACAGAGCAGTATGAAGATGCTGTGAGAGATTATGAAAAGGTTTACCAGACAGAGAAAACTAAAGGTAAACATAGAGCATGTGGTTCTGGATTTGACTGGCCTTTTTTCTAATATAATCCAAGCTGCAACTTCTTTTATGGTGGCTAGGGATGACGGGTACACTAGCTCAGTATTGCTGAAAATCGGTTTTAACTATTGTTTTCACAGTCTTATTTGATTTATATCACACTTTTTCACTCAAGAGCTCAAGGCAGCATGCATAGTGCTCTTTCCTAGTTTTAGTCCCAGCAACAACCCTCTGAGTTAGGTTTGTCTGAACGAGAGCAATTGTGTGAAGTCAGACTTCCATAGCTAGGGCCATTCTAGAAGCCGGATTGTAGCAATTACATCTCATTGGTATAATTTAAGTGATAATAGATAACACAAGAGCTATTGGGTCATCCTTTCAGAGATACTTACTTACTTACCACTTGCCCACTTCTGTGCACACCCTCCCTGATCCTTTCCATGTCTTCCTCATACTATCTCACACCCCCATGCATCTTCTTTCCTAACCCTCCCCCACAGGACTTGTGTGCACTCACCTCCTCACACACACATACCATCCCTGTGCACTCCCTCATTCACTCCCCCAACAGCAGCCATTTACCTATTTGGCAGCCTGGGATTTCCAACTTCTTGGCAGCTTTTCCTTGTGGGAAGCTGGCAGAGAGCATTGGAAATGATGATCACATGACTGTGGCAGCCAAGTTTCGGTTCTACTTGAATTAAAGATTTCGGGTTTTGGACACATTCTTTAAGTTACTCATTTGAGGTGCATTGATTGTAAAATGATTGTCCTATGATGCATAGTTTTAGTCAATTACAAATAGACAAATGGGAGATTTTTAATACTATATGGTTAGATTCCAGACAAGCAACTCTTGATAGCTCTATCTGCAATTAGTTTATCCACTTTTAAAAATAAATTAATTTGGGAGCGATCATCCTATCTAATGGCGGCAGATCTTTTCTATTGTATATTACATCAAAATGTGCTTTATTAGTCCTGAATTTTCTCATACTTAGCCTGCTTTTAGGAGACTTACATTCAGTGTGTAATTTGTTCTTGCAGCTAAAAACTTTTCCCTCTGATATATTGTAGAACACAAACAGCTACTCAAGAATGCACAGATGGAATTGAAAAAGAGTAAGAGGAAAGATTACTACAAGATCCTGGGTGTGGATAAGAATGCATCTGAAGATGAAATTAAAAAAGCATACCGGAAACGGGCCCTAATGCATCACCCAGGTATAAAAATCACAAGATCTATTGCCCTAGTTCCACTGCTAACTTCTTTAACTGAATGTCATGAAAGAAATATAGTCAATAATATAAACTTTTTCACTAAGGCTCCTCTGTTCCTGTTTGTTTAGTGCGAGACCCTCCTCTCTCCTTTTTTATCATTGCCCAAGCTTTGATTGGGTGAACAAAGGTGGGGGTGAGAATGTAGGTGTCTCAGAAAATAATATTGCTGGACTTTTGAGTCACTACAGAAATTGTGATTATCATTGTGCTAGCAGCTTAACTGGTAAATGGTAATATTTGAAAAGGTCCATTGGTTTTTTTTCTTCCACCAGCCAGTTTGATACTGCTACATTTTCAATAAGCCTCATGAAGACAGAATAAGTGACTTGAGGATTCCTTTTTATTTTCCTTCTGATTAAGTTGTTGAGTTCTAACTTCTCTGGAACTGAGAGTGCTCAGCCACGAGTCCCTTCAATAGGAGCAAGAGGAGAATATTCAAAAGTACTGAAGAAGCTTGTTTTTCTTTTCTTGTTTAGAAAGTGGCATGATGCAATTTCAATTTTTACAGCTCTATTTAAAATGGAATAATTGCTCCATTGTCATCCTCTACTATTCTCTCAACACAGTTACGTACAATACACTGTAAAACACATGGTTTCACACCCTCCCCTTATTACTGCATGGCATTTATCCAAGCACGTTTAAATAACTCAAATATAAAATTCCTAATATTTTCATAAAAATATAATACTGGAATAAACTTTCAGATCAAAAAATTATAGAAGTTCCAAAGGAGCTAGGAAACTACAGGTAATCCTCAGGTTATGACAGTTCACTTAGCTGGTTTAAAGTTATGATACCCCTTCCCCAAAGTAGTTATAATACAGTACCAAAGTTATGAATGTTGCAGCAGCATGACAGTCATTCACCCTTATGACCGACCACAGAGATGCTGCCCCCCCCCTCCATCCTGTCACCGATTGTTCACTTACCTTTCAAAGATCTATAGAGTCAGGGCCATGTGGCAGAAAAGCAGCCATCTTCTTACATACCTGCTGTCCTCTTTGCAAAAGACCTTTGATGCAGAGAATGGAGGCCTGTGAGAGGATGCAGGCATCTGTTCTCTGTGCCAAAAGTTTTTTGAGCAAAGGGGATAGAAGCATGCAGGGATGTGAAATCATCCCCCCAAAAGCTTCTGTCCTTTTTCCAAAAAGCTTTTCACATGAAGAACGGAAGCCTGTACAGGCAGCCTCTGTTCTTCTCACCAAAAGCTTTTTGCAAAAGGATGGAAGCCTTCAGGGCCATGAGATTGCGCTCCCACAGGCCTCCCTCCCTTTTCCTCAAGGCTCCTTCAAACTCACTGAGGCTGCCTGGCGCTCCAAAAGCGGATATGGTGTTCTGCGCAGGCAGCCTCGGTGAGTCAGCCAAGCTGAGCAGGGTGGACTGGTCCCACTCTGCCTCAGCTCTCATCACTCCGTTTTTGGAGCGCCGGGAGCAGAGAAAGAAACCACAGTGGAGAGGTTTGATCATCAAGATCTTCAAAAGGTAAGTGATTCTCCACAGGCCTGGTGCCTGTCAGACCCACGGGGCAGAATGGGGAGTGGGGGGAGAAACATGAGAAATCTCAGCGGGTCAGGAGAGGCCTTGGGTGGTTGGAAGCACTAGGCCCTCCCCATGGTCTTCCCACTTTGAGATACCTCATGTGCAGTTAATGACCTGTGCATTTGTTTAACAAATTATTATTTATTTATTTGATATATATTGCCGCCTATTTGCCCATGGCGACTTGAGGCGGCTTACATAATATAAAATCATATTTAAAACAAAAAAAATAAAAACTATAAGAGCTAACAGAATCAAATAAATTAGTAAAGTACAATAGAACAAAATTTGGGAAAACAAAAAACAAAACAAAAAAACAACTCCCACCCCCCACCCCGATGACACCGGATCACACTAGCCATTTGATGGGTTCCATCCCTCTCTGGGATCCCCAGGCCCGCTGGCAAAACCAGGTCTTCAATGCCTTTCGGAATAGTATTAATGAGAGGGCCATTCTAATCTCTGGGGGAATGATGTTCCAGAGAGACAGAGCCACCAGAGAGAAGGCCCTTCTTCTAGGTCCCACCAGGTGTATCTCCCTCAGGGGTGGGACCCGCAGCATTCCCTGCCTCTTCGTTCTAATGGGTCGGGTAGATGTCATTGGCAAGAGGTGTTTTCTCAGATAACCCGGACCCAAGCCATGAAGGGCTTTAAAGGTGACAATCAGCACCTTGAATTGCACCCGGAAGCAAATCGGCAACCAATGCGGCTCCTGCAGGAGAGGTGATACATGTGCACACCGGGGTCTGCATAAAACCATGCGGACCGCTGCTTTTTGCACCAACTGGAGCTTCTGGATGCTCTTCAAGGGCAGCCCCATGTAGAGCGCGTTGCAATAATCAAGACGGGAAGTGACCAGGTATGAGTGACTGTGAGTAGGGACCGCTGATCCAGGAAAGGGTATAACTGGTGCACAACCCTCAGTTGCACAAAGGCCCTCCTGGCCACGACCGCCACCTGCTCTTTGAACAGGAGTCATGAGTCCAGGAGAACCCCTAGATTACGCACAGGGTCTGTTTGGGTAGTGCCACCCCATCCAAGACTAAAGGTGGTAATTCTCCCTGAACCAATGAACCCCAGACCCAAAACCACTCGATCATGTTTAGTTTCAACCAATCCATCCCCTAACAGCCTCCAGGCACTGCGAGAGGGAGGACACAGCAACACTTAACTCACCATGGGCCGAGACATACAGCTGAGTATCATCAGCATATTGGTGATACCTCAGTCCATGGTGATGGATGATCTCACCTAGTGGTTTCATATAAATTTTGAACAGGAGCAGAGAGAGTACCGAGCCCTGCGGAACCCCGTAAAGCAGTGGGCAAGGGTTGGATCTCTCCCTTCCTATCAACACTGACTGAGAGCGGCCGCAGAGGAAGGAAGTGAACCAAGACAGCACAAGGCCTCCCACTCCTATCCCCCGAAGCCGTTCCAGGAGAATTCCATGGTCAATGGTATCAAAAGCCGCTGAGAGGTCAAGTAGGGCAAGGATGGATGCACTACCCCCATCCCGCTCCCGCCAGAGATCATCTAAAAGTGCAACCAATGCTGTTTCTGTCCCAAATCCAGGCCTGAATCCTGACTGGTAGGGGTCAAGATAATCCGTTCCATCCAGAAACCTCTGGAGCTGCTGCACGACCCCCTTCTCAACAGCCTTCTCCAAAAAGGGAAGATTGGAGACAGGTCGGAAATTATCCAACTGGGTGGAGTCCAGCGATGGCTTCTTAAGAAGAGGGCCGGACCACAGCCTCCTTAAAGTGCTGGGGCACCGTCCCCTCCTATAGAGAAGCATTAATCACCGCCAGAGTCCAACCGCCTGTCACCTCCTGCATTGGATAAAGTAGGGAGGGATCATGTTCATTTAACATGATCCAATTAACAAATCCTCAGATTACAAAAGTAATTGGCAGGCTCCATTATATTAGTAACTCAAGGATTACGTCTATAGGGTTGTGATCGTGACTTGCTCCTGAGTAGAAAATGATATTGCCAATAGAATTGTTAAAAAGTAAAAAAATCATTGCTGCAGTTATGGAATAACATCATGAAAGATAATAGAGTTGAAATTTAGTTGCTAAATGATGTAATATGATAGAAAAAGAGCAAAAGTGATATATAGCAATAGGCCAGTGATGGCTAACCTTTTCAGCACTGAGTGCCCACACATACGTGCACATCCCGAAAATGCAATGCACATGCGTCCCCCGTGTATGCGCCCTGCACATGCACCCTGCGTATGCACCCTGCATATGCGCCCTGCCTCCGCACATACACTTCACCCCTGTGCATGTGCCCTACCCACCGAGCATGTATGCATATCCCCATGCATGCGCCCCACTCGTGCATGCATGCACATCCCCGTGCATGTGCCCCGCCTCACGCATGCAAGGTGTCCCCCATGCATGTGCCCCACGCATGCGCCTTGTCCCCCACGTATGTGCTTCGTCTTCCATGCATGCGCAGCAGAGACCCAAAGACCAGCCGGCTGGCTGGCGGGAGGCACGCATGCACGGCAGAGCTGAGCTGGGACAAGGGTTCTTTGTAGGTTCGCCATCACAACTATAGGCTTTCCTCCTACTCTTTTTTTCTCTCCTCCATCTGGCTTTGAAGAAATATAGCTATGACTCTTATCATGCATTGCCCTAGCTGTGGAATCCTGCCACGGACCCCAAACTCTCCACTGTTATTTCAAGGGCAGTTTTATTGCTGCTGTTGCTCATTAACTAATTGGAAATTTGTTTATATGCATTATTCCTGGCCATGAAAAGCAAACACAGTAAGGGAGAAATAAGAGGAATAATGGGAGATTGGAACTCGGGGGGGGGGGGGGGGAGATTCACTCAAACTAAAGCTGTTCTATAGGGTTTGTGGGTTAGTTCAGTACAAGTGCATACACTAGTCTCTCAAAATTCACAAATCATTCTTTGTTCCTGTTACTCTCACCATACAACTGTACCCCACTTATCTTTGTTGTTTCCAAGGTACAATAGAGAGCTGACATCTGCTAGAGAACACACAAAAAGGTCATATATTGTTGGAATTAATTGGTATCTACACAGATTAGAAAATGTAATAAATAATTTTCAGATCATATATTGCCTGCCCTAAAATATTGGCACTAATTACCAATTGCTTTGTAGGAAAGAGTTTGATTCATTGGTATTAATCTTTAAAGTTTTAAATAGCTTGAAGAACCATGATTTCCATTGCAAACCTGTTTGGATGTTCAGATCCGTGTGAAAGGCAACTCAGAAAAGGCCTTGTTTTTAATATATTTTCCCTAAGTAATTAGTTAAATAGAAAAGCAGGAGAAAAATCTAATAACACAAATCTGCTTCAGTACTTAATTAATAAACTAGTAAATTAAGCTTCTCTTTACACTAAATTTGTATCTCTTTGATAAAGAGCTTTTTTTCCCCCACCTGGTTATTAGAACCAATTATTCTTTTTCATTACAGTTAGGCTTTTTTGCTCTCTCTCACACTGTCTCACCCACCAACCAGACATGTTAATTTTTCTGGCAGATCGGCATAGTGGAGCAAGTGCTGAAATCCAAAAAGAGGAAGAAAAGAAATTTAAAGAAGTTGGTGAAGCCTTTACCATTCTCTCTGATCCAAAGAAAAAGGCCCGCTATGACAGTGGCCAGGATCTAGAGGAAGATGGCATGAATATGGGAGGTGAGTGCTAAAGAGGACTTTTAATTAGTGACCTTTCTGTGCCATAGGTGCATAGTTATGGAATGGGAACAAGGAAAGTCAGTATATTCTCAAAATTTTGAGAGAACACTACATTTTTGCTGATGAAAATTATACAAAATTGAATTTGATCATTCAATGTTTTAATAGCTTAATATATTAATATATATTGTATATTAATATAATAATGTTTGGAGATTGAGGGCAAGGCAAACATAGAAAAAAGAAAATGCTGCAAAATATTATAGAAGCTTTTCTGAACTTTTATGACTGTAAATGTAAATTTAAACAAGAATTCCTTCTCACCTGCTGGTTTGTTTTTTTTTTCTTCACCTATACTTCCCAATAGATTTTGATGCTAATAATATCTTCAAAGCTTTCTTTGGAACACCTGGAAGTTTTAGTTTTGAAGGTGGGTCGTCTTTCACATATCATATGTATATTTATATTGAAAAGAAGGAGGTCCTGCTTTTGCATATCCGCAGGTGTCAGTTGAGGCAGTGTCCCTTGATCCCTTCATTTTGGGACAACAGGGGAGCCTATTAATTTCTGGTCTCAGGAATTCAGTGGAGGCTGTTTCATTCATACAAAATATAGTTCCAGCATGGGACCATAAAGTATTTCACTCTCCAGATCTTAGTTCCCTCCAAAGTTGCCAAGAAATATGCTTTAAGGGCTTTGTGTGCTGTGCCCAAAGCTTATATTTTATGTATTGATTTAATATTTCATATTTCTAAACATCCATCTGCCTCAAATTGGGGCTCTAGGTAGATTGTTAGAGGCAATACACTGACTGTAAATTGCTTAGAGAGGGCTATAAAGCACTGTGAAGCAGTATATAGGTCTGAGTGCTATTGCTATTTCTATACAATGTAATATCAATAAATAAAACAACAAAAATTAGCATTAAATTAGGATTAAAATTTTGTTAAATTATAGACTAATGACAATTAAACATCAAAAGGATAAAAATCCTAAAAAGACCTTTTAACAGTGGTTCTGACAAGGTGGGGAGTGGACTCCCTCATGGGCCCTCCTGCAAGACCACAAAGCCAAGTTTGGTCCCTTTGCAGAAGGCCAAGAAATTGGGGCTTTATATGTACAATATCAGTTGGGGATTTGTTTGCTTAATTAAGGTTTGATTTGCTAGGAAACCTTATTTCCTGTCCTTGCCAGTCACTCAAAAAACACATCTGTTCCCATAATAATTATAAATTTTATGTTATACCGTATTTCTCGGTCTATAAGATGCACTTGCCTCCCTTCCACCAAAAATGTGGGTGAAAATGTCTGTGCGTCTTATAGAGCGAATGTTGCCGAAGCCTCACCACCCACCAGCCCCCACTCTTCGGCCTCTGCCTCCCAGCAATTTGCCTTCTTGCAGCAAACAGCCTGGTTAGCTTCAGCACAGACTGATTTAGTATGAGCCGCTGATTGGCGGTTGGATTGACTTCCCAGAATGCCTCCCATCAGCTGTTCTAAGCTGCAGGAATCGCCATTGCCCGACGCCACCCATTGTCACCACTGCCTATTGCTGTTTCTGTGCGCCCCATTTTAGGGTGGCTGGTTTTCTGCCTCCACGCATCCTGTTTTCTGCCCATTTTACCCACCACCTGGAACAGGCTGAAAATGGGATGCGCGGAGGCCGAAAATGGGGGCCATGGCAGCAATGAGCTGCAACGATCCCTGCAACCTGGAACAACCAATGGGTGGTATTCCGATCCAGCTGCCACTCAGTTGCTCGTGCTAAATCAGGCTATGCTGAAGCTGACCAGGCTGTTTGCTGTAAGGAGGCAAATTGCTGGGAGGCAGAGGCAGTGTTTTTTTCTTGTTTTCCTTCTCTAAAGCTAATGTGCATCTTATAGTCCGGAGTGTCTTATAGTCCGAAAAATACATTACTTCATGCTTTTTCTGAATGGGCTGTAGAATCTGTCTTTATTTAAAAGATCTCAATATTGCAAAAATTGCTTTGATGATTTGTTTTCTAGTTTGCTAATCTGTACATCTATGTCTTTCAGCTTCTGGACCTGGGAATTTCTTTTTCCAGTTTGGCTAAACTGAGGAACAGATCCATTTTATCCACTGAAATCCACAGTTTCCCTGACCTGCTTCATTTAATTTCAAGTTTCATCTTCCCTTCATTGCATCTCAGCATTTCTTAGGGCTGTGGCATTTTTTCTGTTGGAAACATCAATTTTTTGTGTGTGTGCTTTAGAGTGTGATGAGAAAACCAGCATTTGAAGAGAAGGGAACTATTAAGAAGTACACATTTTTGTTTATTTTGTTCTTAATTTTATATAAAAGAGAGTAAGAGAGAAACATCTGTAGATTTCTGCATTAAGTAATTTAAGATTCCTAAGCTGCTGGGACTTCATTCAGGGAATCCTTACATTTTGAAAACTGGATATGCCATGGCCTTTATTGGGTTCACAATGTGGGGAAAGTGAAATGAGTTTTTCTTTTTTTACTTTGGTCTTATTGTACTGACTGTAGCCATATTGAAACCTTATTTCCAGAAACATTTCAGACACTTGAGAAATACAAAGAAGTTTTACTGCATTATTCCCTGAGTCATTTTTGGAATAAGAGTTGCCTCTTCTCAGCACTTTCTCTTAATATTCCCAGAGTCTCTTTCTTTGAGGAACACTTTATGTTTCCAATTGCTTGAGTGCTTCAGGAAAATGGTAAGGGCTGATTTCTTGCATGGACATCCCATTTTGATGGTGGCTTCCAGATCAACATGTACACTTGATTTCATTGAAAAGCGCATAAAGTCTGAAGTGATTGTCAAGTGTTATGAAGGGTGTGTGTGTGTGTGCGTCTGTGTGTTGTTAGATCTGCAGTGCATATTTCACATTTCCACATCAACATGTGATGTCATGGTTCTTACTTGCATGTTCAAGTCCACTGTACGTGTTGGAATCTCTTAAAATTAATTGGAATTTCAGAAACCATTTTTGATGTTGAGAAGATTTTTCAGAATTCACCAACAATGTATTGAAAGTTTAAAAGAAGAAATTCAGCATTATTTGAGGGGAGGGAACTCTTATTAGTAGCTAACCACACTGAAGTTCCTGATATCTTTTTACGTTTTGCTCAATATTTGTACCATATTGACAAATATTAATCCATAATATCATTTCAGCTGTGGACAATTAGCTCATTCCTTTTTCCACAATAGTAAAAATCATAAGTAGACTATCATTTCTAACAATATTGAGGTTGAACCACTTTATATTAGGTGCAGTTTTCACCACTAACTGAAACTCCTCCTTAGTTTTCCTCAATTCAGACCATATTGGGAGATGAGGGAATCTGAAATCTCAGTGTATCTAGCGAATATCAAATTGGGAAAGGTTAGCCTGGAAGATCAATACTGTGATTAATTCAATATAAGAAATGATTGATGTTTGTGTTACAACCATTATAGCAGCTTTTCTATTTTATGAGGCTAGGGAAAAGGTAATCATTTCAAAAATGTAATCATTTTTAAACTATTCTTATTCTTGGACTTCTGCTCAATGAAATGTTATAGATTGGTCCAATATGAAACATTATTTCAAGAGAGGCTTAGATTATGTCCTGGGAATAATCCTTTATTTTTCAAACTTTTCAGTTAATGGGTTCTGACAAACTTTAGAAATAGCAGTAAATTAGATTTTGTCTGCATCATTTCCTTTAATAGTTCCATAACAAGATATCAAAGAAATGCAGTCTATTGAGAAATGGCCAGGAATTAAATGAGAAGCTAAAGAGGGAAGAGAATAAACTCAGGATCTTGACCTCAGTCAAGATTGCATGCCTATTCCTGGCCAGCAAATGGTAAATACTGAATTGTTCAGGATTTCATTGGGTACTCAATTTCTATTGGTAGAATTTATTGTATTTGGTTAAAGGCGTATATTTAAATGAGTTATTTGGTGGAATTGTGTCCATTCTCAATTAAGAGTTATGACAAACAGGATAATCAGAAACTGGCACAAAAAGCTATGCAATCAACGATCTCCCTCTTCATCACTTTATATGGAAAGAAATTAAAACAACAGCATATCATCTTCAGACGGAGGTGTCAAGAATCAATCCTGGCATCCTGTGAATTTTCTATTTTTTAAGATGTTCTGGCTCTGCAATAATTGTACTTTAAAACTTCACACAGAAATATAAGAATATTAAAAGTTTCAATGGATGGCAGCCAGATTTTCTGATCATCTCTACACAGCTGGCAGTAGTAATAAGATTTTTTTTGTGGAGCGGTGGTGGTGGGGGGTCAGATCCAAAGGTCAATGAGAAATGGTTCCTGAATCTTAAAACTGATTGCAACCTAAAAAGTGATGAATGCTGTATTACTTTGCCTTTCTAATTTGCTTTTTATTATCTACAATTCTCATTGCAGTCTTTAAGGATGTTCTGATACAACAATGTTTGCATTATATATTAGGCCATCTATAACCTGATTTAGAAATTCTCCACCCTAGTAATAATCATTTTATAATTTGAATTTGGTTCTTAGCTCTCAAATTTTGTTTTCGTTTTTTAATTAGCCAAGCTATATTTAAGAGGTACCAAAAACTATGTGTGACTGATAAAGGATTAATTATCTATCTGGCTGAGGCTTGGAGTATACCTATAAAGATATACATTGTCAGAATGTTGTAGTGATCATAATAAGGTGAAATGATACATTGCCTTTTTGATATTACCCTTATAGAAACTTCCTGAGAATAAAGAACAGATATAGAGAGGATCTCGAACATTCTTTTTACTGCTAGTTAGGTTGCCACAGGAGGAAGGCATATATTGCTGGTAATGTTAAGTAATATCACTTAACCATTTAAAAGTACCACTTTTCCCCATAATATGTGTACACAAAATCTATAAGCAGGGAATTAAGAGCCAAAACTTTCTCATGTAGCAATGCATGAGACAATTTCTTTGGTGATGTAGATCTAAAAGCAGCATATTTTAGGGAAAGTTGCCATTTTTGCCTATTTTCCTGTACACTTGAACAGGTGTTCTTGCATGCATTGTAGTCTCTTTGCTGTACAAATACATTTACAAGGAATTCCTGAGCAGAAGACAGGTAGGCTAATGTTCAAGCCACCTGAAGAAAGGCTTGTTTGGATAGGAATAGATAGCATACCATTCTAGACTTCTTAAAAATACATCTGTTGCATGTTCTGTTTTTAAAATAGCATCCTGTCCCCTTTACTCTCTCCTGTGGATAATTTCAGACACATGGATAGCCATACCGCCCCACTTCAACTTTTCACTTATCAAAGGTGAAGATTATTTAAACAAAAAGTGGCGACTGTTCATTAAGCAGGATTCCTAATGTGTTTATATGCAGAATTTTGAACCAGACTGAAGCAAACCCATATGCAATTGATATTAATTTTATTATAAAATGTATATGATGTACAAAAAATAAACACTCCGGATCTCATTGGTGACTTATGCTTCTTTAAACTGAGTAGACACTGCTGAGACTGTGAGTGTGGTGACATGATGCTGGATTGAATAATTGGGGGTTGGGGGAATCCCAAAAATCTGTGGTGGTTAATGTTAAAATTGTAGTAGCTTTTTTTGTTTAGTTGTTTGTTTGTTTTTTACAGTAAGAGAAGTAGACAGGAAGACTACCAGTGCTAAAATTGAGAAGAGATCCAGAGGTTTTGATTATGTATTAGCACTGTTCAATTTCTTTTTTAAAAAGTGCTTCACAACACAGGTCTGTATTTGAATTACTTCTCTTGGAATCCTTAAAGGAGCCATGCCTTCTTGCCTCATATAGCTGCTGTAGAAGTGCTCTGGCTCTCTTCCTGTGGATGGCTGCTTCACTACGGGGTCATCCGGAGACTCAAGGAGCACTTCCAAAGCAGCATCCATGAGAATCTTTCATAAGAAGAAATGACTCGTAAACTACAGTTAACATCTGTACCCAATTTAATTCCTTTCCCTATAGACCTATGAAAAGTCCAATCTCTTCTCTGCAAATAATCTGAAACTTCAGGTAGCAAAGGCTTGAGTAAAGAGTTCCATATCAATCAGCCTAATGTAAATATCAACACAAACATTTTCTGCATGTTAATACATTTATTTCAGTGTATTTTACAGTCACTATGAATCTTAACTACTTTGTAAAGCAAAACAAGAATTATTGTTTCAAGTTACATCAATCAGAACCATTGAAATGTGCTACTTCTAGTTTTTTTTTAAAAAAAAAAGCTTTGACCATATTTGAGTTGTATTAACAGTAATTTGATGTTTAAACAACAAATATTTAAGAACTGACACAAATATTTTGCAAATGCAAGTTACATTGTTTCCTGAGCAATAGCACAACCAGTTTTTTCTTGTATAGCTAAGCATTCAAGAAAAGTAAATGACCCACCTATCTTCCTTTATATATTGGATGTCTATAATTCTAAGTTTCAAGTGATGTATGTTTTGTAACTTATTTCATAGCTTTCATTATATAATTGGTTAACAAGCTCCCATTTTAAACTAACTCCCATCTAGAGCATATTGAATGTGAGCATAGCAAAAACACAACCAGCAATTACATAGACAACTATTATTGTCATTGTATTCACATTGATGGTTAAAAAAGAGTCTGCCCTAATCCAATGTCCTTGTCATATGTTTGATTTTCTATAATCCAAAATTAACCTGTCTTAAAGTCATTCACAACAAAGATAATACTGATTATGAATGAGCAACACTGTTATTCAACCTAATTGAAGGGCATCATTTTGCAAAAGCTGGTCTTGGAGATTTTTTTCTCAAAACAAAGGTCATATTCAGTGAGATTAAATCCTTTGTGTTAGAGATAAAGGGGAGGACTAATCTTAATGTTATGAATAAACCAACTCAAAAGTGGGGTTAGTTCAAGTGTCTACTGCCCAGCTTTGCAATAGATGATGTGAAAGACAGCTATAATCTAGACACTTTGGTCGCTAACATACTATTATACCGATCCTGCTCAAAGGAAAGTAAGCGGGCTATGTGTTCAACTAGACTTACTTGAGAGAACTTAAATCAGTTGTATGCACAAAATATATATCACTCAACAGGATGTGGTTCGGCTGAGATTAGAACATGTTTGGCTTGCATTTATTTTTACAGGTTTAACTCATGCCATGCTGGATATAACTGTTATAAAATCAAACATATAAATTGTAAGTTTTAAATGCTAATTTTTTCCTTGAAATATGCTTTGAAATGTTGAGTAGTTTCAAGTACTAGGTGCTCTGAACTTCAACTTTTACAACAGTCATTGACAACAGGGGCAACAGTTATGCTCGCTAATGTTGACAGAAGTTAGAATCAGTATATATAAATAACATGTTAGGGAATTTGTATATTACCTTAATATACCTCTTTGAACATGAAGGATTTACTTCTAAGTTTATATGCATTTTGATTGCATCATGAATATATTATATTCTTCAAAAAACAAAGCTGTATATCAAAGCATTGAATACACCATCTATTGTCTAACATACTTGTTCATTGATACATATTTTAGTGCACTGTTTTCATAAAATTTGAAGCTCTGGTGGATTGCTTATCCAATGCAATTAAAATCATAGATATATCCTTACTTGTGTCTCCCTCTATACTCAGAAATTTTCTCAGATACAATACTTTGGGCTACTTATAATTTAGATCAGTTGCAGCAAGTTCGGATCCAGTCAGTACAACTAATTTTGCTATTGGATAATACATCTGTTCAAATATTCTTGTTGAAAAAACTGATCTGAAAGTACAGGGAAATCTTAGTCCCTGATTTTCATGGGCAATGGTTGAAATATAGTTTATTGGTATTTTAATCAGACAACATATAAAGATCTCTACTGAAAATCTAATGCCTGTCATTTAAAACAATACAAGACAGGATGGATAACAAACAGAGACTGCAAGGCAGATTCCTATTCTCTAGTTTTATATTCCTGTTAGTAGATGCCCATGCTGCAGAACTAAGGTGATAGATAAGAAAAATATAAATCTCTTAAAGGTCTGTACAAGAGGAAATGCTGCGGGGGGCTGCAGGCAACAGTATTTAATGTGCCAGCTTTCAATGACCTATAACCTATACAATAGCAACGTCACAGACTGGCACAAGCCTAAAACATTATGAAATCATGAGTTGCACATTAACAAGATCTTTCATTAAAATATAGGCCTCTGTTAATGCTTAACATATGTTTCAAAAGCTCATAAAATTGCAAGCAGGGGAAGCTTTACATTTCCCATTTTTAAAAAATCTGGGGAAAAGCTGCTGGTACTTAGGAATACTAGCAAGATCTTACTATGTTCAAAACAGTGAGGCCTTATTCTTTTAGAAGTGAACCTTCTAAAACTACAAACCAGAAAGGTAACGTTTCCCTTAACATCAAGCTGAGATTGATCAGAGATGGCCGCCCTTGATTCTGAATCTCAACTGAGAAGAGATTACTTGAAACCAACTAGTTACTCTGTGGCTAACTTGGAAAGTGAAGCTGAACATTTTAAGCCTAATATTTTATTCACTTAACTTTGTCATAGTGTTTTTAGACTACGGGAAGAAGTACAGTATAATTGATCCAAACTTTCTAAGTCTACCCTGGATTTGAATTCAAATGAAAAGATTACATGAGGATACAAAAGGTTGGTCTTGAACTTTTAAATATCCCCCCCCCCCCTCCATACCTTTGCTGAAAATGGTTACCTACGGTATTAGTTTTCTACTCTCGGAATATTTATGTCAGGAATCATTGAGAAAAGGTGGTTCTATTTGCCCCCTCTGTTTTCCTTCTGCTCTGAAGCAGTACAATCAGTTTCCCTCTCCTGCTGTAACAGTAATTGCTGTAAGGGACCAGATAGATTTACAGCACAGGAACAGACCCAGTTCTGGCAAACTTGTAATGGCTATTTATATTAAGAAAAGGAAACCTCAAAAGGCTGGAATATATTCAGTTGTATTAATTTTTAAAGTATAAAAAAGTGCTGTTTTCCATTTGAGGAATCCAGATCTCTGGAGGTCAAGAAATATTCCTTTAAAAAGGACATCACTAGAATTAAGAAATTGCTTTAGTCATAGAATGCTATCATTTGTGTTGTTGATGGGGAAGAGTTTATAAAAGGTTACACATTATATTGTGAAAACAAGGCTGCAGACACCACGAGAGCCCTTAGATGATGACACAGGAATTGAAGGGTGATCCCCTTTTGCTACCTCCTTGAGTTGGCACCAGTTTTCCCTTTCCGTAGTAGCCACCAAAGATGGCTCTCACCTCAATCTTTTTTGAAAGCAAAAGCATCCACATTCCATTCCCAAAGGACAAAAGTTTTCCGCCACCAATCTCCCCAACCTCCTCGCCTTTGTTCCCTGCCTTTTCCAGTTTTGCAAATTCAAGGAGGTCAAGGCCAGTTTGGACAGCTTCTACCCCACTGGCACAACCCAGAGTGATGTGGGCTCGGCTGCCTTTTGGGAGGCTGACTGCTGGCTGTAGCACATCCACATCTCCGGGCCATAGAAGCATTTGCTGCTCGCTCATTTTCACACGGGCACCAGCAGTCTTTGGGGTGATGAATAGAGCAGATATGGTCAGGAAAAAAGATTTTCCATAAGAAGTCTTCACAATCTGCAAAAGAAATTACTCCTCTTAAGACAAGCTGTGCATTCAACTCAGATTAACCTGGCCATCCCCTACATCTAGGACACCTTCAAATCAGGACTATCTCTCTGGATTCCCACCAGCCTAGCCACGGTTGTAGTTCAAATGTGTCATTAATGTTCTATATGGGAGAGGGCTAGATTAGAGTTGTGAGATTTGGGTGCTAAAAAAATAAATCAAGAGACACTGTGGGGCAGTGGTTAGAGCGCAGTCTTGTAGGCTCCTTCTGCTGACTGCCGGCTGACTGCAATTTGGCAGTTCAAATCTCACCAGGCTCAAGGTTGACTTAGCCTTCCAAGGTTGGTAAAATGAGGATCCAGATTCTTGGGGGCAATAGGCTGTAAACCGCTTAGAGAGGGCTGTAAAGCACTGTGAAGCGGTATATAAGTCTAAGTGCTATTGCTATCCAATTTGGCTGGAACAACAGGACCAGAGGTTTAGTCTTCCCTGCTTTCAGACTCATGCTGGAGTCCATCCTCAAGGAACTCCTATCAGAATGTATAGACACATTCATGTAGACATGTGACACATTCTGGTAGAGAGAAGTTCCCTGAAGATGGGCTCCAGCAAGAGTCCAAAAGCTCAGAAGATTAAATCCCTGGTGACTGATCCAGATTGGATCCTGGAACATGTATATCTGCCTATGAACTATGAAATTCAGAAACATTACCAGGCCCTCATGTTAATCTTATCTAAACATTCTGTACTATTATTTATGTTGAAATTGTACGGAAGAGGGGCAGGAGTATAAAATGCATGACTTGTAAATCATATGAGGTTAAAATAAACACTGATGATCACAGTACTAATGACAACAGATGAACTAAATTAAAATACCTAGGCAAATAACAAATATTTGAGTTGTATCAAATACGTCATTCCCCCAAATATACTGGGATATTCTCATCTCATCATTGGGAGAAAGGCCCCTCTGAAGCCTTTCTCTTTCATACAGGGAGAGGTGGTCCTTTAATTGGCTATGCGAGACACTATAATACTGTATGTTGCTGGATAATGGTGTTTGTTTGTTTTTAAGTAGACCATATTAAGTAGACTTCACATAATTGGCCAAAATGTAAATCAGTCACATTTTGGCTGACAATGTTGTAAACTTTAAGTGTTCGCTAGCACCTTCAATTGGGCATGGAAACTTTATGGCAAGCAACATAATGCCTGCTTTCTAGCTGCATTAGTGCTGGCAATTAAATTTGCAATAAGGAAATATTCAGATTATGCTGCCCTTTAAAAGTAATATAGTCAATTGCCACTACAAAATCTTATCTACCAAAATGTTAGGACTGAAAAAAATCCATTATTTGTATAATAAACCTAGCACATAGTCTAAATCTAAAAGGATAGTTTCAACAGAACAAGGCTAATGTGGTGTAACAGTTCACATGCTGGACTAGGTGCAGACAGACATAGATTCAGCTCCACTCTTAACAAACACATTACCAGAATTATTTTTGGTTGGTCACACTCTCAATCCAATGTATCTCACAGAATTATAGGGAGAAGGAAAAGCTATGTGGGCTCTCTTGAGTTCCAGAATAAAAAAGAAGGTTATAAATTTAAAATAATTAGGCCCCAAACAGTATATGCCCTTCTGGGCACAGTCAAAAATTAAACCAGCAGCCCCCAATCTTTTAGGAGCCAGGAAACAATTTTGTGGAGAGCACTGGGGGGTGGGTGGGGGTGGCATGGTTTTTTGTGCTGCCTGCATCCCATACATATTGGTATGGGGCTTCTATCACTTCTGCAGCCCAGTTTGCGGCCCAGTGCCAGTCCATAGCCCAGGGGATTGGGGAACCCTGGATTAAACCATTCATCTCTAAGTATACAGTGAAACTGCAAAACAGAGTTTTCCTTTTCTGGACACCTTTATTCAAGTTCAATTCTATGACGTTTGTGAAATACAAGAATCTGAACAGGGTTTCATATTATTGCTTAGACTATTAGTGCAACAATGAAATAATGAAAATAAACATCAGATTCAGTGGTGGGAGTCACATTTTTTTTACTAC